TCGATAAATCCCCTAGAGATCGATAGAGATCAATAGATCCCCCATAGATCCCCCCACACCCCCTGAAACCGCTGCTGGAGACCTGGCTGAGGGACGCAGGTGGGGTATTGATCAGTTATTGATCGGGTATTGATCGGGTATTGATTACCTATAGATCGATAAATCCCCTAGAGATCAATAAATCCAGGCCCCCCACGGGATCAGTTCTATGGGATCCATGGGATCAGATTTATAGGATCGATAGGATCTATGGAATCAATGGGATCAATACGGGATCCATGGGATCGATGGGACCAATACGATCAATAAGTGATCAATAACTGATCAATAAGTGATCGATCACCCCCAGAGTCGATGTCGCTGGACTCGGCCCTGCCCAGCCCCTCACAGAGTCGATGTCGGTGCCTATGAAATCAATGGGATCAATGGGATCAATACAATCAATTACTGATCAATAACTGATCAATAAGTGATCAATAAGTGATCGATCACCCCCAGAGTCGATGTCGCTGGACTCGGCCCTGCCCAGCCCCCCACAGAGTCGATGTCGGTGCCCATGGGATCAATGGGATCAATGGGATCAATGGGATCAGTACAATCAATAACTGATCAATAACTGATCAATAAGTGATTGATCACCCAGAGTCGATGTCGCTGGACTCGGCCCTGCCCAGCCCCCCCTCCCTGGGCCCCCCCAGCCTGGGCGCCTTCGAGGGGCTCCCGGGGCGGCGCCGCAAGAAGAGAACCAGCATCGAGACCAACGTCCGGTTCGCGCTGGAGAAATCCTTCCTGGCGGTGAGAGATTGCCCAAAATATCCCAAATTATCCCCAAAATATCCCAAATTATCCAAAAATGTAAAAAACACCCAAAAAACCCCGAAAAAACCCCAAAATCCCCGCCCAAACCAGCATCGAGACCAACGTGAGGTTCGCGCTGGAGAAATCCTTCCTGGCGGTGAGAGATTGCCCAAAATGTCCCAAATTATCCCCAAAATATCCCAAATTATCCAAAAATGTAAAAAACACCCAAAAAACACCCAAAAAACCCCAAAAAAACCCCAAAATCCCCGCCCAAACCAGCCCCGAACCAGCATCGAGATCAACGTCAGGTTCGCGCTGGAGAAATCCTTCCTGGCGGTGAGAGATTGCCCAAAATATCCCAAATCATCCCCAAAATATCCCAAAGTATCCAAAAATATCCAAAAATGTAAAAAACCCCCCAAAAAACCCTGAAAAAACCCCAAAATCCCCGCCCAAACCAGCATCGAGACCAACGTCCGGTTCGCGCTGGAGAAATCCTTCCTGGCGGTGAGAAATGGCCCAAAATATCCCAAATTATCCCCAAAATATCCCAAATTATCCCCAAAATATCCCAAAATATCCAAAAATGTACAAAATCCCTGAAAACTCCCCAAAAAACCCCAAAAAACCCCAAAATCCCCACCCAAACCAGCCCCGAACCAGCATCGAGACCAACGTCAGGTTCGCGCTGGAGAAATCCTTCCTGGCGGTGAGAGATTGCCCAAAATATCCCAAATTATCCCCAAAATATCCCAAAATATCCAAAAATATCCAAAAATGTAAAAAACACCCAAAAAACCCCAAAAAAACCCCAAAATCCCCGCCCAAACCAGCCCCGAACCAGCATCGAGACCAACGTCAGGTTCGCGCTGGAGAAATCCTTCCTGGCGGTGAGANCAAAAAAACCCCAAAATCCCCGCCCAAACCAGCCCCGAACCAGCATCGAGACCAACGTCAGGTTCGCGCTGGAGAAATCCTTCCTGGCGGTGAGAGATGGCCCAAAATGTCCCAAATTATCCCCAAAATATCCCAAAATATCCCCAAAATATCCCAAAATATCCAAAAATGGACAAAATCCCTGAAAACTCCCCAAAAAAACCCCCCAAAAAACCCCAAAAATCCACTGAAACCAGCCCCGACCCCAACATCCCCCCTGGTTTTCCCCCAATTTTCCCATTTTTCCTGTAATTTCCCCATTTTTTCCCAAATCTTGCCCATTTTTTCACCGTTTTTCCCCATTTTTTCACCCATTTTCCCATTTTTTCACTGTTTTTCCCGTTTTTCCCAATTCCCCGGGATTTCTCCCCAAATCCAGAACCAGAAGCCGACGTCGGAGGAGATCCCGTGGGACTTTCCCCTCTCATTTCCCCTGTAATTTCCCCATTTTTCCTCTTTAATTTCCCCATTTTCTGCCCGTTTTTCCCCATTTTTTCACCGTTTTTCCCCATTTTTTCACTGATTTTCCCCATTTTCCCCCCATTTTTCCCGTTTTTCCCAATTCCCCGGGATTTCCCCCCAAATCCAGAACCAGAAGCCGACGTCGGAGGAGATCCCGTGGGACTTTCCCCTCTCATCTCTCATTTCCCCTGTAATTTCCCCATTTTCTGCCCGTTTTTCCCCATTTTTTCACAGTTTTTCCCCATTTTTTCACCGTTTTTCCCCATTTTTTCCCATTTTTCCCAATTCCCCGGGATTTCCCCCCAAATCCAGAACCAGAAGCCGACATCGGAGGAGATCCCATGGGACTTTCCCCTCTCATTTCCCCTGTAATTTCCCCATTTTTTGCCCATTTTTTCCCATTTTTTCACCGATTTTCCCCATTTTTTCACCGTTTTTCCCCATTTTTCCCATTTTTCCCAATTCCCCGGGATTTCTCCCCAAATCCAGAACCAGAAGCCGACGTCAGAGGAGATCCCCTGGGACTTTCCCCTCTCATCTCTCATTTCCCCTGTAATTTCCCCATTTTTTGCCCGTTTTTCCCCATTTTTTCACCGATTTTCCCCATTTTTTCCCCATTTTTCCCCATTTTTTCCCGTTTTTCCCAATTCCCCGGGATTTCTCCCCAAATCCAGAACCAGAAGCCGACGTCGGAGGAGATCCTGGGCATGGCGGAGCAGCTGCACATGGAGAAGGAAGTGATCCGCGTCTGGTTCTGCAACC